TATATTATAGTTACTATACATTAACATTGTGTTACTATATATTAATATGTGTTGCTATTCACACTGGGCTGGAAAGAAGGAAGGATAAACGTTTCATGAAGTCTTACCAAACAAAGTGAGGGGCAAACCGTGCCAAACCTCCATCAGCCTGAAGACCAGAAAGGGGGCGATGATCCCACCAAAATCACACAGGGAGGAACACACCATCATTCCAAGGTTCCTGATCAAATACAAAGAACGAAAAAGACAACATTCTTGTGAATCAATTTTCCAAATGTTAAACTTATTCCAGAGCAAACTCATCACCCATTCCCCAGCCTCCCGGGAGGGGAGACGGGTTGGAGATGGAGTTAATCACCAGTGATTTGATCAATGGTGCCTACATAATGGATCCTCCATAAAACCTCAAACTACAGGGTTCAGAGAGCTTCCGGGTTGGTAAGTATATCCATGTACCAAGAGGGCGGCACACCAGCTCCACAGGGACAGAAGTTCTTGTGCTCAGGGCCCCTCCAGACATTGCCCTGTGTACCTCTTCATCTGGCTGTTTGTTTACATCCTTTATGATAAACCAGTAAATGTAAGTGCTCCCCTGAGTTCTGTGAGCCATTATAGCAAGGTAGGAAACTCAAGGAGGGGGTCGTGGGAATCTGATTTACAACCAGCTGGTCAGAAGTGTAGGTGGACAATGTGGGGCTTGTGACTGGCAGCTGAAGTGGGGGCCGTCTGTGGGATTAAACCCTAAACCTGCGGGGTCTGCACTAATTCCAGGCAGTTAACGTTAGAACGGAATTGTACGACTTGTTCGGAGAGTTGGAGAATTGACTGCTGTGAGTCGAGTTTTTCCTTCCACATGTAGAGATAGGGAAGGGTAGAGAGAGGATTTTAAGGAATGGAGGACAAAGAAAGCTAGAGGGGAAACGTGGGGAAACTGTCTACTTGAAATGAATTCTTCATCCCTGAGAACAGTCTTTGCTCTGAAATCCACTGTGTCTTATATGAACACAGCCACCCCAGCTTCCTTCTGATTAGTGTTCACATGGACCATCTTTCTCCATTCTTTTACTTTTAAACTATCTCTGCCCTTAAATTTAGAGTGAATATCTTATAGACAGCACACAGCTGGGTCACTTTTGTCCAATCTGACAAACTCTGCCTTTTAACTGGGGTGTTTAGACCATTTATATTTCTTGTGATTATTGATATAATTGGGTTTAAATCTGCCATCTTGCTCTGTGTCTTCTTTCTGTTCCACCTGTCCTTTGTTACCCTTTTCCTCTTATTCTCCCTTCTTATGAAATGAGTATTTTAAATGAATCTATTTTTTGATGGCTCAATAGCTATAACTCTATTTTGGGTTTTTGGTTTTTTGCTTTAGGGTTTATAGAACTTGTCTTACCTCCACACAGTCTACCTCCAAGTACTGTTATACCACTTTGGGGGTTGAAAATAAACCTTACACCAGCACATGTGCGTTTCTGTCCTCCTGGGCTTTGCACAATTTTACTTCTACTTCTAGGTTGTAAATCCACAACACATTATTTTTGCTTTCATTAGAAGTCAGCAAACAATAGCCCATGGGCCAAATCCTGCATTGTTACGGCCTTTGAGTTAAGTGTGCTTTTTATGCATTTATTTATTTTTTTTTTAAGATTTGGCATTAACTTTTTAAAGATAACAGTAAGTGTAAAGGAGGTCTCCTTGACTTTCACACTTCTTGACAGGGGTGTTTCTCCAGAGAG